TTCACTGGTTCATTTTTCAGCCATAGAAATGAAAATGTTCAAAAAAAATTATTTCTACCCGTTACTCTCCCATATTAGGTGTTGAAAGTGCGTAATTCTGTCGGGTCATACATTCTTTTCTTCAGTATATTTATGGTTCAGTTGTCATGTAAAAATATAATCAAATATTTTACTACGTTTTATGGCGTCGACTGAGTTAGGAAAAAAATAGATGAACCGACAGAAATGAGAGTTTTAAATAACATAGTGCAGCTAAAAAAAATGAACATCAGACGATATGTCATGACATAAGATATTGAATAATAAATTTTTTATTTTTACTGAAGGTTACTTTTGTCAAGAAATTAAGTCTTAACCGAAAGTAACTGATATTTTATGTCAGAAATTCAAAATCAAAAGTCGTTGAAAACCAATGGGTTGTTATGGTTGTACTTTTTATTAGACTTATAGTAATGACTTTCTCAATTAATCATACAATAAACTATAGAAGGGCGTTGATTCTATCCTGAAAACTATAATTTAGCTCTGTACAAAGTTGAGAAATTCAATTTATTAATTGTTTATTATAAATGTACTTTTCCGACAGTATTCGAGATACAGACTTTACAATAAGAAAAATTAGAAATTTATACTTCAAGAATATTATCTTTTGTAGAATCGACTGTCTTTTTCTTATTTTCAAAATCCTAAATGTCGTTCTATTATTTTAAAAAAATGTCTAAAAACATTTCTTCCTTTTCTTTGTACTGTTGAGAAGTGTCACATATTCAAAAAGTCTAAGACGCAGTCAAAGTAAAAGGAGATGAGGAATATGAAAAAGTATCTAATAAAAGATACTTTTCTATATCTCTCATTGCACTGCATTCCCCTGACTTCTTGAATATGTGAAAGTACTGGTACTGTTTGATGTATGATACTTATTTCAACAATAAGCTTTCTTCATCAAAACAAAGAGACGTTATGTTTTCATGTAGTTTTTGTTTTAAACATGTATTTGATAATGCGCAGTCAATAGTCTAGCAAGTAAAATCAATATTTAAACCATATCTAGCCATATCTGTGTTTATTCTACAGTTCATTTATCATCATACGTCTAATTAAAAAAAAAAAGACATATTTTCTTTTCCTCAATATGCTGATATTTTTTCATTGATACTAAATTGTTTATTATTCGTTCTTAAAAAACTGAATATCACTCATGGCTAAAAATGAAATGATTTTTTATTAAGCATGTAGTGCATAACAAAAGCATTTGATGAAGAAATTCCCATATGTTTATAATATTAATAAATGTTATTAATGATTTTTTTTTTGCTTTTCTATCTATTTAAATATTTTTTTATTAAATATGTTTTTTTTTTGTGTTTTATATTTCTTCTATCAATGACTTCTGTCTATTGCATTCGTATCTTATTATTCTTATGTGCCTGTTCCTCCTTAATCTTAATCGGTAATGGACTGACTTATACACCTACTACAGGCAATAATAATAAAAAAGATTTCTCTTTTCTTCGTAAGTATTCTCGGCAATCAATCCAACCGGATTCGAATCTATTGAAGGAACCTTCATCAATCTTATCCGCATCTAATATTCAACGACGTAATGTGATTATGCCACGTATTTGTTATTTTGCTCGAGTATCTGGAACGAGTGTTTATCAAAAATTATGTTTGCCCTATGATGATAGTTGATGATCATAATTATTCAAGCAACAAACAAATATAAAAGTCAAAGATTTTCATTATTCGAATAACTGCTACTTGATTGTGTTAATGCTTATGTAATAAATAAAATCATATGAAAAATTTTAACTATAAAATATCAATAACATTATTCGAATAATTTGATTTGTCTTTTCTTATATGTTTGACAAAACAATAATATTTCAAAAAATATCATCAAAAACAAGAATCATAAAGTCATTCATTTATTTTTTTTCTTTTCTGAAGTTCTTCACGTAAAAATCTATAGATAGAAATTTTTACTAATTTACTTTCTTTTTTCTAATTCTTCTTTTTACTTAATAGAAAATTTTCCGTGTATACATTCTATTAATCAAAATGATAAAATCGAATAATACAAATGTACATTTTTGTTTCTATCTGATAAATATTGGTTCAAATACATTCTTGAGCATATAACTTGGTTTTTTTTTGTCCTGAGATATTCTTTTCAAACATCGAAATTCAAATTTCTAATTTATTTCATAATGTAATACTTATGTTTAATATATAAGAATTGTATATCTGTTAGAAATTCCTTAATTACATAAGAATATTTGGTAAAAACAATGTAGAGAATTTTGATTTTCTTATAAGAATTTCATCTGACAGTTAATTTTTCATTTATCATCACTTTCTTAAATTAAAGATTTCTAAACATTTTATTAGTAAGAATGCCATTATAATTATTAAGATAATTTCTATTTGAGTAAGGTATATGTCAATTTTTTTGCAACAATTAGTAACATCTTTATTTAATTGAACGAAATGAACAACAGATTAAATTATTTATAGGAAAAAAAAATGAATGTATTTTTTCTTCTACTTAGAAGAAAACTGTTCAATTGATTTCAAGTACTTTTTAAAATGAAAACATTAAACATTGGTAGATAACGCAATTGTTAAGACTTCTTAGTACAAATATTGAAATTCTACTTTTGTAATATTTAAAGTTAACAGTATTCTATTATTGTGTGTACGCATTATACATCATCAGGTTATTTATACAAGATATTCATAATAGTAATCATATTTAGATGTTCGATGTTTCTACATAATTGAACAAGAATACTTTTCTGTACAGATAATGTCTAACATCACACAGTTTTTTTTTCTTTTATGTTTGAAATTAAAAAGGAAAGTAGGATTAATTATTTTTATGAATAGGTTTTTTTTCTCTATTTGAATTCTTGCATAACAAATAATAAAGAAAAGTGTATGTGTATGATAATTTTCGATGAATTATAAGTTCAAGCATGATAGTCGTTTTGTTTTCATATAAATTATTTTACAAACTAATTTATGAATACTTTTCATTTGTTATTGATAACATGTAATAATAGTACTAAATTTAAGATAGAAAATATGTATTATTTTATTATCATATTGATTTATATAAAAATGAGTTATGCTGAGAAATTCTATCTGAAGAATATAAACGAATATTTTCATTACATACATATATATGACCTTATTGATTCTTTTATGTAATCACTTGCATTTTAATGTACCGCTAAAATATTTATTCTCAATGATATTCTAATAGCTTGTTTGCAACCGAACTGTCTTTGAAAAATGATTGTATAAATAAGAAATAAATTTCTGATGCATTGTGTTAGTTAATTTGATATGATACAATAAAATGTGTGACAATAAAAGAAAACTGATGAAGACAGTTTTTAATTCATGTATATACATATATATAATTATGTTCATAGCAACTAAAGATACTTAAAAAAAGTGAATAATCTTATTTCAAATTGAGAAATATAAATTAAAAAATGAATTATGCAGAACAGATTTTCTAATAATTCATACGAAATACTGAAATCATAATTGATGAAATTTTTTTGATTATTTCTTTGGAATGCTAAGCAATAAGCTCAAATTCTTAAAAACCTAAATTGATAGCTTTCAGATGTCAGAAGACTGTTTTGCAACGATACTAATTTAAGCAACACACAATGAGGAATCACCGCATTTTAATGGACTTCCCTCAAAAATTTACAAGAATTACAAAAACCGAAATTAATCGAAAAAATCGATAAAAAAACGTTTTTGTTTTCGATTTTTTCTGAATAGTAATAACTCTTAAGGAAAAGTCGTAGACAACACGGATACCACTCATTTTATATTCTTTAAAACGGCATTGTAAAAAAAGTAATCTTATGGGACTTAGAAATAAGCGTGTCTGATTTCGTTCGAAACCTTAATATAGAATACATTCGATAGAAAAGTGCGATGACTATTAAGATTACTATCTGGATTTGAGCTAATCCTTTAACATTATAGAAAAATATCTTGCTGTTAAACTTTTCTCCAACCCCTCACATCAAGTTTTAATACGAATAAAAATCGAAAATCTATTCCATTATATTAGTAGTCTCTAGGTTCTTCTCTTCAACACATTAATATCGAGCACAATTTAGTCTTATTCATTTCGATCTTTCAAAATATGTTTGACTCAGTTATCATATTTGATTGAATTCCAAACTTTCACTCTCGTTTGCTTCATTTAGCATTTTCCTATTCCAATATAAACAAGGTTTTTAGCAAACTGATTTCCCTTTTTTTTTTATTTATCATCTTTGATTGATAACTAATAACCCTTTTCTTGAACGCTTAATTTTTGATCATGTTTATTGCTAGTATGGCGGATTAATCATTTCTCCAATGTGTTTTGTGTGCCATATTTACAACATTACCACTCAAATTCGTCAAAGAGACAGAACTGCTAAAATAACATAAATTTATTCCTTGAAAATAATGAAAAAGAAAATTATGCATATGGACAAACAAAAGAAAATTAATCATTCATACGATATAAAACCATAGTATCGGTTAAATAAAATTCGGTGGTCTCAAAAAGTATCCGGAGCTGGAACCACGGTTTCAATTCGTTTATCGGTTTCGGTTTTGTTTTGAATCACCAAACTCTACTATTAATGCTTCATAATTTTCGATATCTGTAAAAATTATTGCAATTCAAACACCTACGATTTATTCATCGTTGAAAGAGTCAATGCAGCATTAATAATAAAGTAGCATGCTTTAACATAATTATGAATTATTTTTGTTATTGCTTTTTGTTAAGACTCTGTGAAATAATGTCCTTAACTTAAAAACTAATATTCTATAGTATATTATGAGTGCTACTACACCTCTAAAGCTTGAAAAAGGATATGTAAAAGAAAAATGCAAATTAGATCATTCGAAATTTGCTCTTAAAATGCTAGCAGTCCGAAAACAACATAACAAATATTCGAATAGAAATAATCATGACAGACACGACCATTAAACAGTTGGCAACTATTTTTCCGATAGATACTGAAGCACTGAAACCAGATCTCAAATTTCGTCGACGTCGTTCTATAATTCGTGACTTCAGTCTTAACACTTCAACTCATGGTGTTCCAGGCATTGCACGTAGTCAAAGCATACATAATCGTATTTTCTGGATAGTCTCAACATTAGCATTTACTGGTATTATGCTGTTCTTTGTTGTTGAATCGATAAAGCAATATTTCAATTTTCCAACACAAACATCAGTATCATTTATTGTCGAACGTTCACAAGCATTTCCAGCAGTCAGTATTTGTAATTATTCACCATTTCGTCTTGATAATTTTATTGAACCTTTTCTAAATTTTACCAATTCACGTAATTTGACTAATACAACTGATACAAGCACTATTCCTATCGAAGCAGCTCCCTATCTTTTTGATTTTATTCAAAATTTATTAAATTATGATGAATATCTGAGTAATTACTTTTTTCCTCTGAGTTCAATGTTAATCTCTTGTTTATACAATGGTGAGCGTTGTCAAGCTACTGATTTTATTCAATTTTTTTCATTCTATTTTGGTCATTGCTACACATTCAATGCTAAAATGAAATTAAATGACAGTAGTGTTCGAAGTACTATTGATCATGGAGGTATCGGTAAACTTGAATTACAACTCTATGCACACAGCCATCAATATGTTCCATATACTTCAAGGGGTAAAGTGAAGAATATGATTTAAATGAGAACTTTTTTTTGTGTTTCGTTCATAGATATATCAGTTGGTATGGTGGCTATGATTCATGATAATACAGAATTACCTCTCATAGAAGTAGCTGGTATTCAACTTGATCCTGGACGAAAACACAAGTTTGGTTACAAAAAGAGAACGTATGAATCATTACCATCTCCATATTCTGACTGTACAAATGAAGTTTCTCTTGCCATGCAAGCGATGTTTAATCGATATGCAGGTGCTGATTACGCTTATTCTCAAGTTTTATGTTACATGACATGTGTACAAGCATATATGTAAGTATACACTGAAAAACTACACAAAAATAATAAAATTTTGTCCTATATTCAATTTTTCATAAATATTTCACGAGTTTACGCCAATAATTCTGATCAGTTTATCCTAAAAGAATGAATGCTTATTAAAATTATTTTTAGATTTGATTATTATATGTGAATCGAATCTTTATGAAATTTTAATAGTCATGATTTGTAATAATGCATCTTCATATCTCTATCATCAGCTTGTAGTATCCGCAATGAACAAAAAAGAATTTTAACATATATAAACGTAAAAAAGCAACCTTTCACAATGACTAATATTATTCTTCATTATAAAAGAAAGGTGATGATATTCTATTTATGTTTCAGAAAAAAATGTTGCATTTATTTCATTTATTATGAATCATCAATGATATAAATATAGAATCACCAGCATTGGTAGCAGATATTGAACTAATTAATGGAACAGCTGTAACAACCAATTTTTCTATATATATCACGCTAGAAAGTTGTTTTCATATATAATCAGCTATAATATGCATGACTAAGGAAAGAATATTCAAGTAAATAGACAATCTATCTGTTACTGCTAGTATAACAGATCTGACTTTTTCTAAAGTTAAACTTTAGGAGGTTCAGTCGACTAATCGATCAAGCCGAGACTATGATAGAGTGCAAAAAGAAACGTGAATAAGTGACACTCACTTTACTTTTACTTGTTTGAAATAAATCTTCTTTATTGTAGATTGATGAGGAATTAGGCGCCTCCCAACTTAGCTTTACACAGGTGACGCCACTATTATCGAGATCCATGACAATGCCTTGAGGTTTACTAGGAGTACGATGGATGTGTACAAAAAGCGTAGTTGACAATTAAATCAATGATTAGAATAATAATCATGTTGATATTATGAAAAAAGGAATTCAAGAAAGAAAACTAATACGCAAATCGCAACAAATCAAATGAAAAAAGTAGAGCATTAGAATTGAGATCTACTAGATTTAGAAACGTTTTATCCTTCAATTGAGTTTTACTTCTTTTACTTTTATAATTCTGATATATGAATTAAAGAAACTCCTACACAAATGTTTCTCTGAGTTCATTCGCAGGTCCAAACAACATTCTTGAATATATGAATTGCTTTTAAACGTTTTTCTGAAGCTTATTTGTATATATGAACTTCAGATAAACTCTTGTAAGCTGTTCTGAAGAGCAAATATCCTGATAAACTCTCGCAAAGAGAACATGATAAGTTTTGTGAGATTAATAAATCGTTTCAAAAATCATCATGAAATTGTTTATAAAGTTTTCACACACGATAATAGGAAAGGTTTATTATTCCACGTTTTTACGATATAATAAACTAATCAATATACAAATGAATATTTTATCAAAATAGATATGGCCAATGTGGATGTATAAGTCCATTTCAGTGGACTGCTCGATCTATTGTTTTACCTGGTTCAGACCGAATTATTGAAGCACCTCTCTGTAATACAACGAATAAATGCTATGCGAATGCACAAGTTCGTATTACAACTACAACTTCGATTTGGGATCAGTTTTGTTCTAATTGTTCACAACCATGTTCGACTGTAGATTTTACTATTACACCATCAGCAGTATCAGCTCCATCTGCTGTACGCATACCTGAAATTAAAGTATTTGTTGAAAAATCTGGTATTGCATTACCGAAAAACTGGACAACAACATGGCAATCAGAAATTCAAAACAATTATGTTGCTGTCGATGTTGTTTGTGAAACAAATCGTGTAGAAGCTTATACACAAGATGCATCAATTAGTAGTGTTGATCTTCTTTCAAATGTTGGTGGTCATACAGGCTTATGGATTGGTATTAGTTTTTTATCAATAATGGAGCTGGTTGAAATGCTTTATCGTCTTATTCGATATCATTATTATATTTTAAGAGGAAAAATACGAAGACGAAATCAAGAACAATCATGGCTGCGTCAATCATCAGTTTTTTAAACTTTTATATCAAGAGAAACATTTACTGTTTTCCAATGAGATTGACTTGAATAAATTTTTAATGTATATGATTAACGTGGCACCAAAATAATCAGTGAAAGATACTTTTAGCATTACTTAATTCAATGATTTTGATCAAGTAGAAGAAAAATAAATTGACTCGTATCAGATCCCAAAAGAATAGCAGCTCACTGATTTTCTATTTTGACAAGCTTTTTTTTATGATGTAGCTATGACTGGATTTGGTTACACGCACTGAAGTTCTCAAGACTTGATAAATAGAAGTTTCCAAACTGTCTGATAACTTTGATAAGACCTGTGATACTTACTGGCGAACTCAAAATTTGCTACTATAATTTTCTAGTTTCTTGTTATCAAATAAACTGAGTGATGCACTCATGACATTACTTTTCTTCTTTACACGTTCATCGGTCATCCGTACTTCGCAGATCTTAATATAAATACGTTAAACCGCGCTTATTTAGACACTTGCCTTTTAGATAATATTACGCTTTGAAGAAGTTGAGAAAACATTTCTATAAGACATCTGTCTATATGACTCTACCAAGTAATGAGAGCTGCTCATTTTTATCAAATAAGAAATTCACGCTTTGTGAATGGTTTCAATAGTAATTATCGTACTTATCTCATAATGGCACTTGTTTTTGAGCTCACAAACTTCTCATGTACTCTTAACCGATCATTTTTCAGTTAAAGACTTATCCTTATTTCTGTTCACTTAATAAAAGTATAGATCATTTCAGTTTTAGACTGTGTATAATCTCATAATACCAAAACAATTGAACAGAATCGTATTCAAACATGTTCATTTTCTATTCGCCAATTTCTAAACAATTATCGCTCATTTATGTCCATGTGTATACATCTTTCGATTCATGAAAGAAACTCGATTGTTGGTTAATAGGAAACATGTCGAACCAGTGAGATTAGATACATCAATAAAAGTTACAAAACAGCGAAAAGCAATGAACTAATCTATTTGATGATTTAGATTGCTATTTTGTGCTCGTTTGGATACGGTCGGCTTGTATTACATTCTGAAGATTATAAATTTGAGACTGAGCTTCTCATCTATACAAGGGACACTTGTTTGAACATAGAAGTCTAAAAGACTTCCTATTTATTTATAATAAACACAGAGTTCAATTAAAACCATTCGAAGAAATGATATACAAATATGAAATGTAAATTTATTTGAACAGTTGAATAAATACTACTAAAATTGTTGTTTACTTATTAATCTGCAGCATTAAAATACATATAAATTACTTTTTAATCATTCTTTCAAGTGATCCTCTCATGATACAAGAACAATTTATCTATGTGTAGTTCATAATAACATTCTGCAAAAAAAAGTACAGACTTGATTCATAATACGCGTACCAATCAATAAAAATTGCGTCGTGTAAGATCCTTGGATTTGTTTAAGAGTAACGTATTTTCAATAAAATACTATATCGAATAGTGTGTTATTGATTCAAAATTAAGAAGGTATGAGCAAACAGTTTGCTTCATTTGAACTATGTGTACACATAATTTTATTCCTCTTAAGACAACAATCATTATATATATATAAATACTCAAACAAGGACTAAAAACTATATTAGCATATGAACAATGACAGATACAACCATTAAACATATAGCAACTGTTTTTCCAGTAGATGCTGAAGCATTGAAACCAGATCTCAAACTTCATCGACGTCGTTCTATAATTCGTGACTTTAGTCTTAACACTTCAACCCATGGTATTCCAGGCATTGCACGTAGTCAAAGCATACATAATCGTATTTTCTGGATAGTCTCAACATTAGTATTTACTGGTATTATGCTGTTCTTTGTTGTTGAATCGATAAAGCAATATTTCAGTTATCCAACACAAACATCTGTATCCTTTGCTGTCGAACGTTCACAAGCATTTCCAGCAGTCAGTATTTGTAATTATTCACCATTTCGTCTTGATAATTTTATTGAACCTTTTATAAATTTTACCAATTCACGTAATTTGACTAATACAACTGATACAAGCACTATTTCTAGCGAACAAAGTCAATACATTCGGAAATTCTTTCAGAATTTATTAAATCATGGTAAACCCGTAGATTATTATTTTTTTCCTCTGAGTTCAATGTTAATCTCTTGTTTATACAATGGTAAACGTTGTCAGACTACTGATTTTATTCCATTTTTGTCATCTTCATTTGGTCGATGCTACACATTTAATGCTAAAATGAAATCAAATGAAAGTCGTGTTCGAAGTACTACTGATGATGGAGGTATCGGTAAACTTGAATTACAACTCTATGCACATAGTCATCAATATGTTTCATATATTGCAAAGGGTAAAATGCAGAATATAATTTTGCGAGAACTTTTTTGTGTTTCTTTCACAGATATATCAGTTGGTATGGTGGCTATGATTCATGATAATACAGAATTACCTCTCATAGAAGTAGCTGGTATGCAATTTGATCCTGGACGGAAATATAAGTTAAACTACAAAAAGAGAACAAATCAATTACTACCATTTCCATATTCTGACTGTACAACTAAAGTTCCTCTCATTATGCAAGCAATGTTTAAACGATATGCAGATGCTGATTATGCTTATTCACAAGTTCTATGTTCTGTGTTATGCATACAAGCATACACGTAAGTGTAGATAATTAACCGCAACAGAAATATATATATTTTAATTATCTTACATAGATATGATCAATGTAGATGTATAAGTCCATATCAGTGGACTACTCAATCTATTGTCTTACCTGGTACAGACGAAATTATTGAAGCACCTCTTTGCAATGCAACGAATGAATGCTATGCAAATGCACAAGTTCGTATTACAACTACAAATTCGATTTGGGATCAGTTTTGTTCTGATTGTTCACAAGCATGTTCGACTGTAGATTTTACTATTACACCATCAGCAGTATCAGCTCCATCTTCTGTGCGTATACCTGAAATTAAAGAATTTGTTGAAAAATCTGGCATTACATTACCGAAAAACTGGACAACAACATGGCAATCAGAAATTCAAAACAACTATGTTGCTGTCGATGTTGTTTGTGAAACAACTCGTGTAGAAACTTATACACAAGATGCGTCTGTTAGTGGTGTTGATGTTCTTTCAAATGTTGGTGGTCATACAGGTTTATGGATTGGTATTAGTTTTTTATCAATAATGGAGCTGGTTGAAATGCTTTATCGTCTTATTCGATATCATTATTATATTCTAGAAGGAAGAATACAAAGACGAAACTTAGAACAGTTATAACTGCATCGATCGTCATTTTGTTTAAATATTTATACCAATAGAAATATTTACTGTTGGTAAACGAGATTGACTTAAATAAATATTAAAACTAGATGAATTTAGTTGCGTTGAGCTAATCAGAGAAAGTTATTTTTGTCTTTATGGCACTTGATTTAATGATGTTGATTAAGTAGAAAAAAGGAAATGGATTGGTCATTCTTTGGTTATCTTTCCTCACACTTTGACGTTTTTTTATCTTGATGCTTTTTTTGAAAGCTTTGATTCTCTCTTTTTCTTTTTCTGATAATTTGAATCAAAACTTTCGGATTATTATAAGAATTTTCCGACAAAATCGAGCGTCTCGTAATTGTATCAATCAATAAGAATAGGTATACAATTGTGATGAGAACTCTCATCGGTATGTATTGATGAATAACGTTTCACTCATTATAGGTAATGAAATATTGCAAAAACACAGCAGCTATGAAGTTTATTTTAATGTTCTGATATGTTACGCTTCGAATAGTAATCTGCAACCATATGAATGCCAATAGTAATGAGTGACCAAACAATTAACTGATTCATGACTCGTAGTTAATTGATCTTCAGAACAAAATTATCATCAAGAATTAGGTACATCACATGTCTACACGCTGTCCGTCTTTTTACAACTATTGATAATATATTCCGACATGAATAAACACAAAAGTATTCTTACTAATATTCTAAATACCTATTTTCATCATCAACGACTATTTAAAAGAGTCTCAGTAACTGAAACATTATTACAAACAAAGAAATATCGTGATGCTTTTAATAAAGCTTCAGAATCAAACACACTGTTACTATTTTCATATTCTAAATCAACTCGTGTGCTTAATTTGAGCAAAAGGCTAAACAAACTCTAGAGAAGAATCAATCAACAACATAAAGAAGATGTTTCTCTGAGATGATTTTCTTAGAGTCAACCTGTACAATATAAATATAATAATCGTAAGACATCTCACAGAGTTGATCAAAACGATCAATAGCAACAGCTATTTTTTGCATTTGCTGTCGGTTGGTATATTTCTTTATCCAGTATTCCGTTTTTCAATAATTGTCTCGCAAGAATGTCTTATCAAAGTTATTGCCGATGATTTCATTCAGCATGCGCCGAATAATTTCAATCTTGCATTAAAAACTATTTCATATTAGCGTGCACATATCGAAAAACAATCAGAATTATGTATTAATGTCCGTTTAAAACAGCAAATTTTTCACTGTCTTATACAATTTTAGTGATTGGTCTATAACAATACCAGGATACAATTTTATAATGAAAGCTTTCTCGACTCCATTGCAGCTTACTTTATGTCTACTTGAAGTTCCTCTTCAAATAGATTTGAACGATTTTTTTTTGAATAGATTATAGATAAATTAATCGATACATTCGACATAATTTACTTAGGAAATAAAGCCTAATAACCAGTACGAGCAGTTAAACTTGATTTTTAATCGACACAACCTATAAGTGAAATATAGTATGAGCAGAATAAATCTTGCTCATGTATTTGAAGCACAAACTTATTGAATATTATGTCTATGATAATACTTCAGTCTATCCGAATTGTTTCGATGTCAGACACGGCCTAAAAAAGTGAAATGTTATATGCAGAGTATACAGTGAATAATGTCTTAATCTGATGTATCATCAATGTTCAGATGTACTAAAATAAATTCATCGCGACATTGTTTCACTACAATTGTCACTCTCATTTGTTTCTGTATTTCATTTGCTATTCTCTTATTGTCGCGCTTGTATCACTTCATACATTGTCTTTGTTAGGTATTCTTGTTTGTCTTTTGTTTGGCATAGATAGAAATTTTTCTTTCATGTTGTTCATGATGTATGAGAATTCCCATTCTATGAATTTTGCTTTATTGTTATAAGTGTATAGATAGTTGTTATTTGAATCCGATAAAACCGAAGAAGTAGAATGAGAGACAGGCCTAACAGGAATTTGATATATTAGGGGATTTTGCGTTTTCAACATCGACTTGAAATAATCCCTCATTGAATCATTTTTTTATTCTTTTGAAAATCATATCTAAATGATATTCATCCGCGACGTTTAGTCTCTTATAGGTACTGCAATTCATAACTATTGATTCTTCGATCAGACCGGAGAAAATTCAAACGGTAATATTCTAATTCCTTTTCGCATTAGTATTCTTACGCCAAAAATAAACTGTCCGTTACGTAATATCTGCACAACTATGTTACATTTCGAAGAATCGATTAGAATTGTCACTATTAATGCTCTTAAAATTAAATCACAGCTATACTCAGATTTCTTCATTCTGATTGTTTCGAACACCAATGCATGATTTTGATTGAACACAATTATAGATCATGCATTTTCATCAGGAACTGTCTTTACTGTTCAAATGTCAGAAGACGATATGATAGATAACCATAATACTTGAATTTGTGTGCTGAGTATGTGAAAGAAAAGAGAACAAGAAAGATTGCAAAAAATACGTGAGCTTTCGTTGCTTGTTTTCTAATATACGCATTCAACGCTTGACAGATTAGCTGAATAAGACAATGATTTCGGTATCTGACACATAAGAACATCAAAATTATTTTGTACACAATGGCATACATTTGCAATTCTAAAAAGAATGACAAAATGACACGAAACGAACGACTAAGCCATATCATTAAATGAACAAACGATTTCTATGTTTTGTAACATATCCTGAAAGCTCTTACTTTTTCGGCTTTTAATTGTCGTTGTCTCATATCCATCATTCTCTATATTTATCTTTTCTTTTATGCCAATCATATGATTCTCTAGAAAATACGACAAGAGAGGTTTATAAGATGCAATAAAACAACAAAGCATGTAGCCTCGTATCACTGAAACTGTCACTGAATGATTTGTATCAGTTAATTAATCAAAAAAAAACGGTCAAAATGAGTTTTAAAAAGTCATATCAACTACAACTTAGTTGATCTTTTGTTCTTTCAATCTTTTAAATTTCTGTTTTATATTACAAATATCCTAATCGTTTCTACAAATGAACAAGTCACGGTTTGCAAAGAATACATCACATGGTTTTCTTTGTTCTCCATACGTTTCCCATCTAATTATCAATATTATAAACTACTTTAATGGTACTCAAGATCTCATAAATCTTGCTCTTAAGAAAATCATTGCAATCATTGGACGTCATTAAGATCTACATACCAGGGCTTTTGCAGTTCCTTATTTTATGTGATATATTAATAAGAAGAAACAAATCTACTAGTCGATATTATTACAAGCATTGAAAACATGAATGAGCAGATTGCAATTGAAAAATAAGTATCTATCCGAATACAGATAAAATATGAAATAAGAAAAATAAGGCAAAAGAAAATCAGAATAACTTTAAACTTTGACTGATGATGAATAACTGTTAGAAAGCCATTAAAATTACATTTGAATAAAATATTTTACAGTATCGAGATGTTTTGTATTTTCAGCTTAGCAACTTTCAATAAAAACATTAAATTCTTCAATCGTCAGTTAAACGACGTTTTTCGTTTATGTATGCAAATGCATTCAAATCAATGACTTCCTACAAATATTATTTGTGTTCAGAAAGCTGAAAAAATTTCTTATTATTTATAACAAACACAAAATTCAAATTAAAAACCATTCGAAAGAATGATATACAAATGTGAAATGTAACTATTTGCACAGCTGAATAAACACTACTAAAATTGTCATTTTTATTCATTAGACTACAGAATTAAAATACACGAACGCTACTCGTTAGTCATGCTTTTAAGTGATAATGTCATGAAAGAAGGACAAGTTTGCTATCGTTAGTTCATAATAACATGAAAAGACTATGAAGAGTCAACCCATAATATGCATGCGTGTCAACAAGAATGTGCTAATGAAGTCTTTCAATTTACATCAGAGTAATAAGTTTTTAATAGTATACTGCATCGAAGTGTTTTTTTTTTATTCAAAATCAACAGGACATAAGTCAATATTTAGTTTTATTGGAATGATGATTACATATTTTTATTGCTATTACACCAACGACTATCATGTATACAAAGATTCAAATAAGGACAATACACTATAATATCATTTTAAAAAAATGACAGATACAACCATTAAACATATAGCTACTACTTTTCCGGTAGATGTTGAAGCATTGAAACCAGATCTCAAATTTCATCGACGTCGTTCTATAATTCGTGACTTCAGTCTTAACACTTCAACTCATGGTATTCCTGGCATTGTACGTAGTCAAAGCATACAAAATCGTATTTTTTGGGTGGTGTCATCATTAGTTTTTACTGGTATTATGCTGTTCTTTGTTGTTGAATCAATAAAGGAATATTTCAGTTTTCCAACACAAACATCTGTATCCTTTGCTGTCGAACGTTCACAAGCATTTCCAGCAGTCAGTATTTGTAATTATTCACCAGTTCGCTTTGATAATTTTATTGAACCTTTTATAAATTTTACCAATTCACATAATTTGACTAATACAACTGATACAAGCACTATTTCTAGCGAACAAAGTAACCACATTCGGAAATTCTTTCAGAATTTATTAATACATCGTGAGCCTGTTGATAATTATTTTTTTCCTCTGAGTTCAATGTTAATGTCTTGTTTCTACAATGGTGAACGTTGTCAAACTACTGATTTTATTCCATTTTTGTCATCTTCATTTGGTCAATGCTATACATTCAATGCTAAAATGAAATCAAATGAAAGTCGTGTTCGAAGTACTACTGATGGTGGAGGTATCGGTAAACTTGAATTACAACTCTATGCACACAGCCATCAATATGTTCCATATATTGCAGAGGGTAAATTGCAGAATATGATTTTGCAAGAACTTTTTTGTCTCTTTCACAGATGTATCAGTTGGTATGGTGGCTATGATTCATGATAATACAGAATTACCTCTCATAGAAGTAGCTGGCATTCAACTTGACCCTGGACGAAGACACAAGTTAAGCTATAAAAAGAAAACGTATCAATTGTTATCATCTCCATATTCTAAGTGTACAACTAAAGTTCCTCTCATTATGCAAGCAATGTTTAAACGATATGCAGGTGCTGATTATGCTTATTCACAAGCTCTATGCTATATGTTATGCATACAAGCATATGTGTAAGTATAGTTAATTAGTTACAGCAGAAATACATATTTTATTTACATAGATATTACCAATGTGGATGTATAGATCCACATCAATGGCCTGCTAGATCTATTGTTTTACCTGGTTCAGATCAAATCATTGAAGCACCTCTTTGCAATGCAATGAATGAATGCTATACGATTGCAACAGCTCGTATTACAACTACAAATTCGATTTGGGATCAGTTTTGTTCTGATTGTTCACAAGCATGTTCGACTGTAGATTTTACTATTACACCATCAGCAGTATCAGCTCCATCTGCGGTACGTATACCTGAAATTAAAGAATTTGTTGAAAAATCTGGCATTACATTACCGAAAAACTGGACAACAACATGGCAATCAGAAATTCAAAACAACTATGTTGGTATCAGTGTTGTTTGTGAAACAAATCGAGTTGAAAATTATACACAAGATGCGTCTGTTAGTGGTGTTGATGTTCTTTCAAATGTTGGTGGTCATACAGGTTTATGGATTGGTATTAGTTTTTTATCAATAATGGAGCTGGTTGAAATGCTTTATCGTCTTATTCGATATCATTATTATATTCTAGAAGGAAAAATACGAAGACGAAATGAAGAACAGGCATAACTGCATCAATCGTTATTTTGTTTGAATATTCCTATTAAGAGACACATTTACTGTTCTTAAGCGAGATTAACTTGAATAATTAATGTATATGATTAACGGGCTACCAAAATAATCAGTGGGAAATATTTTTTATGATCATTTAATTCAATGATGTTCATTAAGCAGAAAAAAATGAATAGACTCATATTACTGCAACTATCCCTAAATGATTTGTATCGGGTAATTAGTTTAACAAAAATCGTGTCGAGTTTTAAAAGGTCATATCAAAGACTAGTTCATCATCTTTTATTCTGTTAAGGTGAGACTTTTGTCTGGTATTAAAACTACTTTAAGTTTTCTACAAATGAACAATTTACCAATTGAAAAGGACTAATTGAACGTGTTTTTTGTTCTCAATACGTTTTAAGGAGAAACAAATCTACTAGTTGATACTATTATAGTGATTGGACAAACATATGAATGTACGGCAATCACGAAGGAAGCGTCTATTCACCTACAGATAAAATATGAAATCAGAAAATGATAAGTCTTCATAATCAAAATATTTACAAAAGAATCAGAATAGTTTCAAAGGTTGACTAAACATAAACCATTATTAGAAATCAATTGAAAATACATTTGAATGAAATACTTTACACTATCGAGATGTTGTACATTTTCAATCGAGTAGTCTGATGTCAATGTCGGTATCTGGTTAAAAACAACACGAATAGCCTAATTGAAATCCTTCAGTGTCTTATTCGATATCATTATTATAATTTAACAAGAACTGTGAGAAAAAGTACGAAAAAGAAAACAAGCAAAGATCAGCGAGCAAATGTAGATGACTGATAAAATGATCTGTTTATTTTTTTAATAAGGACAAGAAGAATTTCAATGAAAGGATAGTTTTGATTTGAACATTTATATTTTTGATATACTGTATTTGAAACTGAATTGAAGATTATTATTTTGTAATCTAGTTTTTTCATATTATGAATATCTGTAATATGTCAATATTCAAACTGAAATTAATGGAAATCTATGAGTTATATCTAAACCTTCAGCAGTATCAGATTTGTTGTCTTATTTTTATAAGTGACGAAATTTGTTTGAAGCATAGTACATTATTACATCCAAAATTAAATTCAAATTGTTCTGCAGAAAGTTCTACAGAAGTAAAACTGTATATAGTTGGTTTCATTCAATATTATAAACGAATCGGTCATTGTGTAGAAGTAGACAGATTGTCGCTTGATCTCAACCCCATGAATAAAAAGTTGTATGTTAACTCAAAGTCAACTTTCAATTCTGCATGATTTTAGTTTGTACGTATTCGATCTCGAGGTCGAAGTCAGACAAAAATCTCATATGCTAGAGTATGACATAAATATTGGAAAGGTTTCATATAAAGAACCAAAAAGTAAATAGTTATTGTTATTTTGAATAAAATTATGACAAATCACAGAATGAAGAACTCCAATTCCGATTTGGTATATCATTAACATGATCGTTCATTTCATTTTCTTATGTATAGGAAAATTATAAATTTGTAAAAGTAGGTAGTTGTGATATAATCAAGAATTGAGGTTCTTAAATCATATACATAATTCGTTTTGCCATCTTCACGAGAAAAGTCCTTCAACTGATAAATTGATTTCAAGTCATGATTATGTGCATTGTGAAGATCCAAATGAGCCATGAATACTCTGCAAGGAGTTCGTACTCCAAGTGAATGACTACAGAGATACTGCACTTCTACTGTATTTTTTTAATGCGTACTATGATCTCTCTCAGAAAGGTCAAAAAAAACCGATTTTCAAATTTCTACTGGAAGCTTTACAAAGAGACACATCTTGATGAGAATAGATGGGTGTGGCTGGGTGGTGTGGGTGGATGCGGGTGTGGGTGTGGGTGGATGGGGTGTGGGGATGGGAGTGGGGTGTGGGGATGGGAGTGGGGTGTGTGGGTGTGAGTGTGGAGTGTGGATGTAGACCTGCGACTCCTGTTTACGAACACCCACACCCACACCCACACCCACACCCACACCCACCCACACCCACACCCCACACCCCACACCCACACCCATAAAGCTAAGATTCGTCAAGTCATCCAAACGTCTAAACAATCTCTTTGCGAGTAAAAATGGTTTATTCTCATTCGAAAAGATCAAAAACTACTTTTACAATTTTTTAAAGTATAGCTATGATCTAACTAGATAACTAAAATTATAAGTTAATCCATTGTAAATAAGGTCTCACGGACTCAAATGAAGAAAACTTTTACAGAGAAGATAACAAGTTACAAAAATTCTTTAATCTGTAAGGCTCTACTATACATATACTCGTTTTATTCTCAGTATAGTGTGACTGAAATAGAGAATCTGAGGTGTATTTGTTAATATATAAAATATTTTCAATGAAATACCTTGAGAAACAGATATCAATAAATGAGATCTTCAATTATACAGTTAAAGCTGAAAATAATATAGAGAAACAAGAAACTCGGAATAAAGCTGCAGATGATTAAAAACAAGAAAAACAATGTCACATAAACAATCAGCTGTCGAAGTCAACTCCCTTTGTTATTCTATTTGGAAAAATCTATTTTTTATTTGTTCAGATTATTGGTCAGCTAAAAGTACGTTTAATGTTTAATCTTAATTTTATTAAAAGAAAAGAATTGAAATGCTGATTGAACTATATTATTTATCACTATTACCAGATAACTGATGCGTTGAATGTATAAAGTAGATTGAATGTATGTTTTTAATCTATTTTCTCTTTTTATAGGAACATCAACAGTTATGTAGTCTAAAAAAGCAAAAAATAAAAATAAAAATATGTTAGCCTTTCTCTTATTTGATGATTATTATCTTCTTTTTTGGTTTGTTTATTTTCAGTTTTTTGCTTTGATCTTGAGAAACTAATTTGATTGTTTATGTTTGCGTATATCTTATTATTTTACGAATTAATATATCATAATCTTTTAAATCTGGAAAGAATTTTTTGTAGTTATAAGATAATCAAAATAAATCAAAGACTTAACATCACATCTTGATGCATTAAATGAATAACTATTCATGTACTGTCGGACCTTCCTGTGTAAGATAAATGTAGACAAAAAGATAATCGGTGAAAGTAGAAAGTGTTTATCCGTTATTTTCTTTTTTCAAATTCAAACTACAAAATCGTTTTCTTGTCCGACTAATATAGTTGTCAGAAGGTACGGTGGACGTCCTATGGTGCTATTAAGATTAGTAAAGAAATTTTATTCATTAAGTTGCTTCTCACCATGCTGATTGCTTATTATTGTTATTTTATATAAATTCTTGTCTAATTCTTAATCTCTGATTTTTAAAAACGATACTGATGGCAGAAATTTTTTTGAACTAGTCGTTTACTTTACGAGTTGAGTAATCATTACACAATCATGATCTATTGATGAGTCAGCTTCACAGTGCATAATTTTACTTCTTTAAGATATTATGACGTTCATAAATCGAATATTATCTATTATTTTTGAAACCATCCAAAACTCATCAAAAGTTTTAAAAAACAAAAAGACTACAGGAGCAAAAGAATGATGAATGAAATTTATAAACAGTTCATAATCCGTCAATATCTCAGACTTCGATTTATATGGCTTTAGAGTATCTATCTTTAAGTTATCTTCTCTAATAAATTCATCAAATATATTTAATAAATTCATCAAATATATTAAAGAAATTCATAATCAAAAATAGACATTGTTTAAATGTTTCTAATTGCTTTTTTAATCTATGAATTGCCGAGTAAATTGCTGTTATCAACAAGGCATGCACAAAGGTTCATAATATAAAAACGAAATATGTATAATACTTCGACATCCTCCGTACGAAGAGCTTTATTTATTATTTTATAATTAAAACTGTCTCTTGTGTACCACGTGATTGGGTGTGTGGGTGTGAAGTGGGTGTGGGTATGAATGTGCGTGGGTGAACATAGTAGAATAGAATTCCCACACACCCACAGCCACACCTATACCCACACCCACCCACACGCACACGCACACCCACATCCGCATACCCACACCCACACCTACACCCACACCCACACACACCCACACCCTCTACAAGACATGGTCGGAGTTCTTCATGGTTCATAAGAGCGACCATTTATTCAAAGAATCTGGATCAACAATAGCATCATTGGTAGCATGTTAAATTACTACTGACAAACACACATATGATGTCTTCTTAACTCCGGACTGATAGCAGATACCATGCCCAGGTACTCTTGAAAAATTACAATAAGCATCCATTGGTAGCTCTTGAAAAGCTACAGAGAGTATTTCCGAATAGTCCTTGAAAAGTCACAAGGAGCGTCCCCTAGTAGCTCTTGAAAAGATACAAAGAGTACCTCCGGGTAGCTCTTGAAAAGTTACAAAGAGTACCTCCAGGTAGCCCTTGAAAAGTTACAAAGTATCAGTGGCATACGCAGAAATTTTCCAAGGGATGGGCCCAAGTTCTCAAGGAGGAGGCCCGTAATGGAGTTTTTCAAAAATTTGTACCGTAGTACTTTTTTTACCCGTACTCTCCCACAGGGAACTTTTCTTCAAGGGGGGCCCGGGCCCCCTCGCCCCCCCCCCCCCCCCCTACGTACGCCACTGAGCAGTATCCCATGGTAGCCCTTGAAAAGTTATCAAGGATGCCCTCTGATAGCCCTAGAAAAGTTATAAAGAGTACCTCCTGGTAGCCCTTAAAAAGTTGAAGCTAGTATGAGACGTAGCAGTCTAATATTGACACTGCGTATATGTATTAGCATTAAAAATAATGCTAAATTAATGCTAGCACCTAAGCATTAATTAACTCTAATGCCATTAATGCTAAAGCATTAGTGTTAACTGTTAATGCTAATGCTTTTGCATTAGCATTATTTTTAACTTAATGCTAATACGACACCCCTACCTGAAACTAGTTTCGTTAAAGTCAGTCTCCATACAAAGTTTCAAGTCGAAAATCATTTTCTCTGTACTAAGGTATTTTCTTTTCAATAAAATACCGTAAAAGTGCAGTATCTTCGTAGTAATAAGTCAAGGACACGAATTCTTTTCAGAATTATGCATAGATCATTTGAGTCTAGATAATACACAAGGTCTTGACTCAAAAGCAATTTATCAGTTGGAGGACTTTGCTCGTTAGATGTTCTTCAATTACTATAGTCTTTTTACATAATATTATATGTATGAATAACTCAAACCAATACTTCTTTAAGTTCCACATCTCAAATAGCTGTACCCGAATTTTGAAATATTGGTAAAATGTGAGAAATTCATTAGAATCAGCAAAGAATTCTTCGAAAAATCTTTACAATTTATTATGTTGCTATTAATATGGATTCAATAATCTCACTTTTCCCTTTCCAAACAAAAAAAAAGAAATAAATTTCCAAGTACAACAAAAAAACAAAAATAAGAATAAATACGATAATCTATCACTGTTTCATAGTTTATCTTTTAAATTAATTGAATTTGTATTGCTATGAATCTCTGGTGTATATGTAAAAAGTACAATAAATGTCCATAAATGAAGAATTATGATATAGAATAGTACACCAAGACGAACAATTGGATAACGTCTTAAAAATATTGTTAAACGAATTCCCAGTTTATCAAGTTCATTAGCTGCTCGTTTAACTTTTTTTGTTAGATCAACATCATATGGTGTTTCACGTAATAATGGCATACGATAACGAAGATTTTCATAATGTTCATTATCATCAATTGATATTGATGTTGTTGGAATAGTTTTAGATGATTGTTGTAAAGAATTTTTTGTTGTTATAGTTTCATAATCATCTAAACGTTTTTCTAAACGTTCTAATTGCATTGTTAATGAACTTTTATCTGTTTGTAATGTTTCAATAATAGTTTGTTTATGTATTAAAGATTCAGTTAATGTTTGTAAACGTTTTTCTAATTCATCATCATTAGCATGATTTATTGTTTTAGAAGTTAATTGTAAACGAAGACGTTCAATATCACGTTCACGTTCATTTAATTGTCCTTGATAAATTTGTTTTTGTTTATGAAAATCATCCTTCATTGAATTTAATTCTTGTTTTAATTTACGATAGTCTTGTTCAGCTAATATTAAACGTGAACGTTCTTCTTTTAATTGTTCATTTAATTGATTTATTTGTTCTTGATATTGTTCCTCGGAATGTTGAATTGTTAATTCAACTTCTTGAAGTTCATTACGTAATGTATGAATTGTTAATTCACGTGCTTGTAATTCTTGTTTAAATAATTCATTTTCATTTTTTAATTCTTCATATTGTATAGAAGCCCAATGAGTAGATATTGGTGACGATACAGATGAATTACCAACGAGACTAATATCGAGAAGAGTAGAATCATCATTAGTGCCAATAGTTTCAACTTCTAGAAATATATAATAATAGTTACAACAAAAAATACAAAGCAAGTATTGAATACTTTTTAATAGTTTTTATGCAAATACAAATCTATTGGAACGATCATTACTAAAGTACAGTCATAGAGGTTGGAATGCTTTGATTCTAAGTTCGAGTTAAGATTTTTTTTTTATAAGATTCTCATCTGTAAGATAAAAATGAGAAAAGATTTTATCGAACTTAAATTATACAACATGTGATAGTGTTATGAATCAAAAATAAATTTGCTACTTGTTTGAAGAAATATACGACTTTCGAAACAAGAGATTTTGATCTGTGTCATTGAAGAAAAGTTTAATGGCAATGCAAAAATGTTTCACAAAAAAAAAAGTGTACTGCACTGCTCAAATCTATCATTCTGATAGAAGGAGAAAAGTATTTGAGTCTATGAAGCGTAAATCTAAAATATACTTTGGTCTTAACAAGCATTGTAGCCCTGCTGTCTATATTTATAAAACGCGCGTTAGCAGTAAATAGAATGTGCACTGATTTCGTAACAACGCATCATTTGTCAGAAGAAAATGAAAATTTTTACATTTAAATAGAATCTTCTAAGCCTCGTGGTTCTGTCACTTATGAGTATAGTCATAGATATTAGCATAAGATAAAATTCATGATACCTCATCGCTTGCATTTTTACAATTCGAAAATAACAACTCCCAATATAGATCTTCTTCATAGAGCTCGAAATACTTCATATGTAATTTCAAAATTGAAAGACGAATTATTTTTCTGAAATATTATTAATATATCGATTTTCAATTTTCAGTCCTTATCATATACATTAACAATCACAAAATAAAATTAATTCTATCCACGATAGTTTCAGTTATATTTACTTTCAAAAGTGACTGGTACGGGGAATTAAATCGAACCTTCTTTCTATAGATTTTAACATAAATATACATATCAACATTGATTTTACTTTGTTGATAAAAACAAGAGTCATTTTCATTTTTTTCAAATGTATTGAAAAGTACAGAAGATATACGGTATTTATTTATATTGTACGTTTTCAAATCATCATTGTACTGTAGATAGTAATAAAAAAAATAATAAAACGTTATTCTTATTATGCATTTGTTCTATATGCAGTAAAATTTACTCTAGATTCATTATCAAATAATAGTAGCACAAGAAAATCGTACGTAAAAAAATTTATTAGTTTGTATTGCTCAAAAGAAGTATTTTTAATACTAAAAAATATTGTAAATGATTTGAACTCTTTCTCACATAACATCATGGATTTCTATTTCCTAGAAATTTAATTCAATAGTTTAAGAAATAAGAGCAGAACATTGATTTTAATGTAAAAAGATTATAGAAATGAAATTTATATTTGTTTGGTTTTGGTTATGAAATTTGTTTTCATCACTGTTAACTATTCTCAAATTCTTCATTGAATAATTTGAACATTAGCATCGATACCTAGTGCAATTAAGAAATTGTTTTCATTTTTCCCTCTGATTTCTAAAATACATTAAAATTGACATAAGGGTGTAAGAATTCGTTGTCAACATTCAAGCTGAGCCCTTCTGATCTTTCTATAGGTTTTAGAAGTGACAAAAACATAGAAATAGAGAGTCAGTTTAGCAGAAAGTGACTGACAAAAGCTATCTTCGGAAATTTCGCAGTTTCAACGTAAAAATTGGGAAGGGGGGGGGGGGGCAGTGTTACCCCTTCCACATCGAGATCTAGTGAACTCTTGCAGTAGTGTTCTTTAATTTATATCATTCATCGGACGGATTGACAATATCTGAAAAGAATTAGTTTAAACTTGAAACATGATCTATCGATAGGTATCATATTCCTGTGTTAATTAAAAAAGTGTAGATAGCGAACATTGAGAATTTGCTTCAATCAAAACGAAATTCTTTGCTATTCTCTAAAACAATAAAAGGAATCATACACTGAACTGTTTAAGATTCTATTCTAAAAGTTTTGAACTTCAAAAATGGTTCAGAATGTTTCCAATTTTATTTTTGTGTTAGAGACTAGTAAGAATTATTTCTTAACTAACCATGTTGATCACCAATATTTGATGTATTACTTCGATGTTGTATAATATCTTTAAGTTTAATAATTAATTTATCTTTTGTTTGTAAAATTCTTTGTGCTTTAGATTTATATTCATTCATTTCATATTCTAATTGATTAATTAAATTTTTTGCATGTTTTGTTTGTTGTTGTTGTTCATAGAATTGTAAATGTTCATCATTTAAACGTTTTTCAGTTAATTTTAATTGTTCTATTAATTGTTCATTATCATTATTTAAACGTTCATTTTCATTTAAATTTTGTTCTAATTCTTTTTCTAATTGTATTTTACGTAATTGTAAAGTATCAAATGATACGGATTGAATATATGATGAATCTTGTAATATATGTGTATATTCATTTTGTAATTCATCATATTGTAAAATTTTTCGTTGTAATAATTCATCAGATTCAGCTAAACGTACACGAAGTAATGCTATTTGAGAATCTTTTGTTAATAAAACTTCATTAGAATCTGATTCACGTGAACGTAAATCACGTAATAATGCATCAGATTCAGCTATTTGATGTTGATATTGAATTAATTGATGTTTATAAGTATGTAATTCATTTTCATATTGTTGTTTATTATGTATTAATGTTTGAATTTCAATTTGAAGTGTATCAATCAATTGTTTATCAGAATTATTATTTATAGATTCATTATTTGATGAAATATTCTAAATAATAATTAACAAAAAAAAAATTAATAAAATAAAATTAATAATCGATTTCTATCTTACTAAAACAAGTTCTTTATTATTATTATTATGAGTTGTAACTACTGATGAAGAATCATCATGAAGAACAACCGATGAACTATTCGTACGTGTTTTATTGTTCGAAGATTGAACAGGACTTAATTGTTTTATTTCATTATTATTGATTGGTATTGAACTATTAAGATAATTCATAAGATCTGTTTCATCAGTTTTTTTCGTACGACGTATTGGTACTATTGTAGATCGATTTGTAGGCACACGATTCGTAATTGGTTGATCTAATGGTGTTGATGGAATAAATGAAGGTGTATCAGAAATAAATTCAACTTGATTTTGTCTTGTTGGTAATTGTGGTGTTTGTGGTGTTTGTTGATGAAAAGCTGCACTTGTTTGTTGATCAACTCGATTTAAAATATCTTCAGCTTGTTTTAATAACCAAGACATAATGAAGGGATTTGCAGCAAAATATTTCAATAGGAACTGATAATAACAATAATGAGTAACAACGCATATACGTATATATCAGAGAGAAAGAACAGAACATTTTAGAAAAAAAATGATTCATTCAACATGAAAATAACTAAGTACCAATAGATCAATGAACGATAGATGTCCCTTCTATATTCATTTCAATATATAATATACTTCATTGTTTTTTGAATTTAGCATTTAATAGAAATATCATAGAGACCTGAACTTTTCACCATTCAAAAGAGAAGAATCGATATTTTCAAACTATTTCCATTTCAATTTATACTTTTTATAGAACTAATTGATAGAAAAAACTCTTTCAATCTATGCGTTAGTATTCAATACAATCTAGAATTCGACCAAAAATTTTGGACGAATTCTGACCTGAGCTGAATTCCAACTTCGACCATCATATATACATCAATAATATATTTTCTTTTGTTCAACAAGAGCAGAGGTTATCAAGGAACAATTAATATATAAACATACATATATTTTGTTAAGAAAAGAGTCATAATAACGATTTAATATGAATCAACATGATATTCAGCTTCTTGATTTATCAAATGAAATATTATTTATTATTTTCGAAAAACTCAATTATATGAATGTTCTTTATTCTCTATTTGATATCAATAATGAACGGTTTTATATTATAGTACAAAATAAAATCTTTCATAAACATTCTTAATTTTGTTTTCATATCATCAATTAATGATATTTCTTCAATTTCTAATCGAAAACTTGATAGATTTTGTAATGAAATATTACTTCAAATTCATCAATAACGTCAAATGTCTCATATTCTCGAATCAATTTCTATAGAACATAATCTTGATTATCCTAATCTTACTCAATTTAAACTTTTCAATTTCAATAAAAAAAATCATGTCACAGTATTTCAAACGTAATTAGTTCACATATATTTATATTTGTTGACAAACTGCGACAAAAAGCTTATGCAATATCTATGTGACGATTGCACTATTATTCATCAACAATCCTCTAGCAGTGTCATTGGAAGACTCATTAATAAGTACATTTTTGCTCTTCAACACTTACTAAATTATGTATTAATGTGCGGGTGTGGATTGCTCATCATCTCTCATCCAAACCCACATCTCAGAATGCATTACTTTACTGATAACTTTAAGATTTTAAAATTCGACTGAAATGTTGATCTCAACATATCCTTTCCGTTGATACTATGATTCAATGAAGTTAGCCAAGAAAAATACAAGTGGGCAGACTTGATCTCTTATAATTCCACGTCTCTCTATGTAACATTAGGACTCAATTTCAGAAACGTTCGTTAATTCCATCTTCATGTATTTCACATGTTGATGTGCACGCCGATTCTTTTAATAACGTAGCAATTAAAAATTCAAAGTTTTAATAAAAAATTGAAACTAGATGAGAATATCTTCTTTCTTTACGTCATTAGCATTTATCTTTGAAAACAATATATCATTTGAACATAATACAATAAAAACTACTATTCTACGGAATATTAATGTTTGGTTTTTCTTAAATATAACTTTCTCTTCAATGTATTAATATTTCTTGGATAGTATCACTGGTTGATATCTAAAGACATGACAATCAGTGATTAGTGTTAATAATCGAATGTAAAACTGTAGCACCATTGGAAAGTTTTGAAGTTCAATTGATTCTGAGGCTAATGGCTGCAACATTATTGAATCTTCAATATTTTGACGTTGTGTTTCACTATTAAATGTTTCGTTATTATCTGTACTGTTTCTCTAGAAAAATGATCGAATTAAAAACAGAAAACTAATATAAATATGACTACCAAATTTCGATCTTTCATTGATCTTTTTTCAATATGGCGTACCCTTCTAAAATTGTATATGTTTTAAAAGGTTTGTATAACGATTAAAAGAAAAAGGAATCGGGTTTAATTCTTACATTTTAATAATAATAAAAACAATAACACCGACTATTATGATGATAAAAATAATTAAATCTATAAGCCAATCTAAAATGAGAATGAAGATAATATGAATGTCATAGTCTAAAATAAAATACTCGATGACTTTTTGGTTTGTTCTCTTATACATAGTGCTTCACTAATTGTATTGACAGATACATCTTGACGACATTGAAAACATAACTGGTACCATGTATTTGGTGTCAAATTAGTCATATTAATAGTTGTTTGATTAGTTTCATCAAAAGTTCTTGAGTTTTCTTTCTTTTGAAAAAAAAAGAATAATACTAATCAACAGAAAAATACTTCTATATTTATACTTGATTTAAACTTGTAAAATTATCATCTTTTGATAAATTTCCATGACAAAGTAATGGTAATGAAAATTTCTTATGATCAAAATGAATTTGAAAAGTAGTTGATGATAAAACTTGAACAGTAAAATTTGTTTTTATCCAAAAACCTACTAAAATTTGTTATTTAAATTGGTTCAAAAAAGAAATAGAATGATTTTTTTTCTTACTTGGTGTCATATCTATTATATACTCAGTCGAATCAAAATATCGTAATGTACCACGTATAAGCATTTTTAATCCCATTGGAAAAACACCATCTTTCACTGGATACCATCGAAATGTTAAAGTTTCATGAATATGATCAGTTTTGACTAATTCAGGTCGTTGATTATAAGAATTCTCATCTGAACTAAAACAGATTGAAAAAAAAAACATATGATACCATTATATTAAAAATATCTACGAACGATTGATAAATTTCTATAAAATCAAAATCATATGGATGTTTATGATGAATAGCAGATACCATTTCTGGTGTATGAATTTTACACTCAATATATTTATTGTCATGTACAATACAGTTTCTTTTACGTTTAATTAGATCAGGTGACGCTGAAACATATTAAAAGAGTTATTCTTATGAAAAAGTCATATTTTATTTTACGTACTACCAACGATAATATCTGATCGAACACCTATACTTTTATTGTTTACTGGTGAACAAATTAAATTAAGAATACCAATATAACCTGATGATTGAATAAAAATTTCCATAGCTGTATTATTAAGATGATTTTTATAGATTTTTAAATTATCTGAAGAAATTGTTGGTACTAAACTAATATCAAAATCAAGATTATCATCTTTGTATTTTGTACATAAGAATTTCATTGTACTTGTTGAATTTAATATTGCAAAATTTGGTTCTATTAACAAATAAATTTTGAAAAAAATATCTTATTATTAATTATTCATACTTAAATCAAAATTTGAAAATTTATATTCATCAGTACTATTAATCGCTTTATATAATGTTATTAATAACATGAGTTTTAATATTTTCATTGTAAATGTATATGCCAAAGTTTGTGCAATCACTTTAAAAAGAAAGAAAGAATACATTCGTTTCAACTATGTCTTTTCATTACTACAGCATTGGCTACCCTACTTTTTTAAAGGTCGAACTAGCAAAAGAGTATGAAAGGTATGTGCAAGATATTAAAAAGTATGAAAATATTGATTTAAATATTTTATTAATATAAGCTACTATTCAACAAACAAGAATGCAATTCTTTCTTCCAATTGAATGAGTTAAAATATAAAAATACAAAAGAGCAAACTTAATTTATTTGTTCTTCATTTCTAGTCATATGAAAAAAAAAATTATGACGAATTATATAGTTTGTAAATCACACACTGTTATTTTAATTAAATAAATGTATATTGTTTTGTGAAAAAGAATCTAACGAATATTATTTATTTTTTTCGACTACCAAAAAATGCAGTATGCAATAATGGATCCATTGATTACTATAAATTAAATCAATAACAAACACTAGAAAAAAAAAAGGCATCACGTCTATTATATAGATGTCTGTATGGCAAGATTTTTATGTAAATAGAAGGTAATCATAACTTTGATGTTCGTTTTTTTCATAGAGAAAAAAAACGTTTTTAAAGAAATAAGTTTCATTAAATAAATATACAAAACTCTAACAAATAATTTTATATTGATTGTAATAAAATACAGTATTACTTCAAGATAGCCGTTCTTTTTCATGATTATCTTAAGAATAAATTTATTTCCAAATAACAATATAATATAAAAAGTATAATAAAAATGATATTTTATGACTGTAAGTTTCTGAGTACAAATAACAGCTAAAATGAGGTATATATCTTTATGAGTAATAATACAATTTGTTTTATCTGTCAACTCCTTTTATTGGGTATAGATCAGCGATGTTTGCTGGGAGAGGGACCCATGGAGAATTCATAGATGAGGAACATAATTTATATTTTCCTCATCTTATGATCTAAACAAAATTTTTCTCTGAAATTCATGATACGCCTTGAACCGATTGAATTTCAAGAGTTTTTATGTCATAGTGTTAACGATAGAGTTAGTTCTACGCTCCGGTAAGAGTATACATTTTCATGCTAATCTCGATTTTTCTCTTCTGTTATTCTTCTTTCATCGAAGTAGTAATAGAAGGAAACTTCATCGTTGTGTTTTCTTTCTGTATTCTCATTGACATTCCCATGTGTTCATTTAACTTCTCATCTATTATTCATTCTTCTATTTACTTTTTGAGTTCATATTCTCTTCAAAGACGTAATTTATACTACCTAAAAATATATGTGAATACTTAACAAGTTATGAAGTGACACTCTCACACTTTCGGCGAACAAATTGATTATAAAGGCTAGGTTTTGATCAAATAATTTTAGGAATTGTCGTTGAATAGTACTATTTAGAGTTCATTAACTTAGGAAAAGATTGATTGTTTACTGAGATTAGATTATATGAATGATGCATATGTTGTACACCAATCATTTTTTTGATGGATTTAATGTTCCAATTAATATATCTACATCTGCTTTCATACAACGATTCACTTGGCAATTTGAGTTATTTGATATGATTTTAACTATTCTAACATCCACTTTGACCAAAGAGAGAAGTGAAAATATTTATCGATTGTTTATATGGTCTAGTTTGGTCCTTCGTTTTTAGTATTGAATGCAAAAATTGACGATTTCTCGTTTTGATTTCTGCATACTTAGATAGAATGAAAATTCTTATTTATATTGATTGAAAAGAAAAAGATCAAAAACTTGAGTAATCTTAAAGTTTTCCGTCTAAAGTTACACTGAATTCATTTTCAAAAACATACTCAATAGAGTTAATGATGTAGAGAAATGTTTATGAGGCTGTACAAAAAAAAATTGCGTAAAGAATGAACTTATCTTCTAGTGAATAGAATTTGGTCTGACAAATCGAAAATAGTCTATTTACGTTTGATTCTTCTGTTATAAATGACAAATTTTTTTTGTTCATATATTGAATCAAAAATATCTTTGTAATCAGCTCAATTTCATCAAATTTGATATTATATGAGTTAATCAGTTTGAATCTATTGATTTAAAGTTTTCTGATAAATTGATTTTATTAGTGAATCTTGAATTATTGATAACAAGAGCATGGGTGTGAATCTGTTTGTCACCTTTTCCATCATCTACATCTATACCCCATGTGAATCAAAGTGTGCTTGTACTTATGGAAACAAGAAAGATTATATTAAAAAAATAAAGAAGAAAAAAAAACGAGTAAAACATATTGGTTCTGGTTTTGATTAAGCTCGAAGAATCAAAGAAAGTTACGTTTTCTTAATCTATCATGATATTTTTGAATTGCAAATCGGGCAGATCAAAAGAATTTTTATCAATGCTAGAAAGATAATTTAAAGAGAGAAAGACACATACAGATGAAAGAAACGAAGTATCCTTCGTAATAAGTAACTAAATAATTATAAACATTTCTTTTTACGCATGCTCATGGTCAACAAGCGAATTATTAATAAGACTTATTGTACAGACGATAACATTTTCTGGAAATAAATATGGTTAGAAAAAAATATATATAATGCATCTTAGAAGTTTGATCCTAATCTTGACACTGATTGTTGCACGTGACATTACTAGTTAAGTGCAAGACATTATCTATCTGAGAACGTGTAAAAAAAACACGATTCCTTTGTTGTGTAAATTCTATTGACTTGTTCATGTTTAACATGCATTCTTGAATATCTAGATCAGAATAAAAGATAAACCTTCATTTTTAATTTTTTTGCTCCGACGAATTTACAAAAAGTTCCTCTTTGGCCAGATTTTAGACAATTTTCAATATGTTCATTTTTATTACAACGAGGATGTGGATATTTGTAGATGGTCAAATGAATGTGGATCTTTTTTTCATCCTTACTCACACTCAGAGTCAGACTCAAACCCACATTTGCCAACACTCACAATCCATTGAGTTGTATGAAATCTTGAAGTGTGAAACTCGCTGTTTTCCCTTTAAAAGTATTCATCTTTTGAGAAGCTTCGCGTTTGGTTTTGTAGAAAATTTTGCATTTTCTACATTGGTTTTCAAGACAAACAATCAGTAGAAAGAATTCGTGATTAAGTTTGCGGCGATTTCTGTTCATAGTAATACTGAACTTTGTCAGTAACTGGCGATAATAGTTGGAAAACAGAAAAACATATATGATTTTTCTCTGGGAAAACTCAGTATTTACTGATATACAAGGATACGGAACGAACTTTGTTAGGTGTAACCAACCATCAACAATTTAAGATTGTATTCGATTCAGTTAAATGGAAAACCCTGATAGAATTCCGACTGCCGTCTCCAACTGTGTTTCTGTGTGCTGTTTTTTTTTTACAACATTTACATGAGAAATCTGTATAGTATATCGTTCTCGACCCATTTATTGATGATGCTTATTACTACTTAATCACCGTTTCGTGGTTGACAAACGACATGGAGTACTATTCATGATTTTGTGAGACCAATGGGTATGAGTAAAAGAAATACCAACTCATTCATTCACTCACCTACATCCATCAATAATATTAGCTTTTTATGTGTTTAATTTTTCTTTATTTAAATCTAATATTTTGGAAATTTTCGGTGCTCACACCATTAATCTATATTGCATTGACGTTAAATGAGAATTTCGAACTATTTATAAATCATTCATATCGTCTTTTTCCTAGCAAACTCCGATGCAGCTCCGTCGGGACTCCATCTAAATTGATCGTTAACGAATACATGGAAAAACAGTATAAATTGAAATATGAACATGTATTATTCAGTTATGTTAAAACAAATCACTAAAAATCAGAATAACGCAACCCAATGTAATTTATACTACATATTTTCTTGCTATTCAGTTATTTGATTCTTTGTCTCAAGATATATAGTTCATTTACTGAATAGTTCTGCCATCTATCATATTTTGTATCAACAAAAAAAACATAATCAACCAAACTTAATCATTTGTGGCATATTCCAAATAATATCATTATCTCATTTCCTCCACTTTTTTATTCTCTTCATTTATTATTTATATGCAACGTTTAATGTACAACAAGCTGTAACTAGCAGCGATAAAACAAATGAGTCCATTATCCTTATCATTTGATGATGCTACTGTATCCCCGTGTTTTGTTCGATCGAGATAACAAAAAAAAAACACACACGTGTTGGTGAAACAGTGTAATTGTTTCGAATAGTTGCAATCTCTTTACCTAATCGAATAGCTTCATTTGTTGATTTCATCAATAACAAGACAAAAATCTTATAAGAGTGTGCATCAAGATTTGCTCCTATATTAGTTGATTCATTGTCTTAGTCGGTCTTAATTTACATTCGTAAACTTTTTGGCTTGCACTCTTATTACACACTTGTTGCTCTTTACATGCAACAAAATTCATAGCTCGATCAATGAAGGTGTGACAAAAGTTTCTTAGTTCAAACGTACGTTGTCTTTTTTTCCTAATAATTCATCCCTCGATACCTATCTTTTTTGATGCTTCAAGTCAATTGATTTATATACATCAAAGATCATTAATCTCTGAATACCAATAGAATGGTCTAGATTTTCTAAAATATCGAAGATATTTAGATATTTGTGAGAAAGTGTCCATTGTTTTCAGCATGTATTCTTGATCCATTATTCACATTCTTACCGATTCTTGCTACGAATATCACTCTGAATACCTTTTTTTTCCGTTGTTCTTCTGTGTTTTTCAATGAAATCTTCAAGCTTGTTCACATCTTTTCTGTAGTTGACCTATTTCAATCAGCTGAGTCTGATTTCGATGCTTTTTATTTACCTCTTCTAGACTGTAGTGACGTGTTCGAGAAGCTTCGACCTTAGTTCGTGAAAATTTTCGTGACTTCTTTGTTTCGTTTTCATTGAGAATCTATGCAGCACATTGCTTCTACTTATCATCGATCATTGAATTTTCATCAACTATCATTTTTTT